TTAAAGCTGAAGTAGCAGAAACCTGGATGCCTGCGCCCCTCTATAATAAAATTCTGTACCCACTAAAATGTAAAGAAGCAGAACAAACATATGAATTTAAATCCCATGATCAATTGTCACTGTTATATCTAATTCTAACATTTTGCAAAATTTATTCCTAGTTTTGTTAGAAGGAGGGGCAAAAAGCTAAGGAGATTAAAATCTTGTCCCCAACCAAGGAAGAACACCTTCTGGTTTCTAAAACTTCAGCGGACTACATGTCCCCAGGAGAAAGATCACTGCAAGCATCAGAAAACTATCAAAAATCATCAGGAAGCTGATCACTCCACCTAGTACCACTGTGTTTTTCCACAGCCACGAGAGACCCATGGAGCACCGTAGGAGCCTTCTTCCTTCTGGCTGAAAGCCACAGGAACCAATTTTGCACTTAAAGAAGCCAAATTTAACACACCTACCCAGGAAACAGTCATGGAGGCTTCAACAATAATGTACAAATTGAGCTGTTCTTTGCCGTCATGGTTTCCAGCACTTAGCTGAAGTCATGGGAGGATTAATACTTTGGTCATGAGCAACCCAGACAACAGTACTGATACTATACACACAATTCAAGTGGTGTGTGTGTGTGTGTGTAAGTAATAAAAGCCATCTAGATGCATATAATTACTTCTTTAACTGCAGCTTTGCCTCTGAAGGTGGCGGGCATTTGGGGTTTTTTTGGTCCATTTTACAAAGCTAATTTCAGAGTTAATTAAAGACTTCTGTCTAGAGCTTCTGACATGGAAATGAACTTTCCACGGGAAATGCTATAACATTAAGCTCCACCCCTCCTGAATAAATCCCAAAGCAAAAATGACTCCATTGTCCCGGAAGAACAAAAAAGCACAGAAGGCAGGAAAGAGGCACAGATCTGATTACAGAATTGAGCACTGCATCATCCGGTCAGTGGGAGCAAGGAAAGAAAACAATCGCACTGAACTAAGTACTTCTACCCCCATCTTGGCAAGCCTTAAATTCGCTCAAAAGTCCTCACATAAACATCATAGGAGAGAGCATGAGATGGTTTTAGCAATTTTGTATACTTTGCAATAATGCTAGAACAGTTTGTATGGTACATTGCATACTAATATGAAAAAGAGTCCCCCACATTTTCATAAGCAAGGCAAAACATGGAAATATCAACTCTTTCCCCCATGTCGAAATGGCTATGAAACAGCTGATGTCTTGCTGTCCTTTCAGTGGAATCCCAAACTTAAAGGCAGGGAACAGTTTGATTAGCAGATGCTCTTGCTTATATCAAAGGACATCAACACATTAAACGTTGAGGCTTGCAGCCTTCTGATTATTATTTCCAGATTCAAAGTAGACAGATTCTCTTTTGTCTAACCCTGCCCCTCTGTACCACTTCCTTGTCCATACTGCCCTGTGGAGCTGCTGCTACTGGACCTGTAGTGTGTTAGGAGGAACAGTGAACGGCATTTTCTTCCACTGCTGACAGAGGATGGTATTGTGAGGGAGATTTTGTTACAGAAGCTTCAAAATATATGAAGCATAACCACCTTGGTGTGAAGCAGTCTGCAATGCTCTCGTTTCTGTTGTCACAATATCTTCCCAACAATCCTTAAAATTACAGATGGTACAAGTGCAAAGATCTATAGCACACACACCCCACAAAAAAATCCCTCAGAAGTTAACAAGAGTCCCCAAGAGAGAGGCAATAAATTAACCCAGTTTAAATTGGTAATGTGGATAAAACCTCAGGGCCAATGTGTAGGAAGCACTATTTTTGAACATGCTGAGACTTCAAGATGACAACCATTATATTCAGACAGTTCACAGAAGCCTAACAGTAATCATATGTTCAGCAAGAATTGAATCTGCATAAGATCCTTGTATCCTATCATCTGGTTTCTATGATATATTTTTGTTATGCAGCAAAAATGAGATAATCATCCTTAGCTCCTTTATATGCATACAAGGTTCACTGGAAAACTGTTCCATGGTATAGACTTCTAATCAGATCTTTCTAATTCATGCTGACAGAGAAAAGGAAAAGCAAAAAATTAAGAAAGATTTTGCTGCTTCCAGATCCCAGTTCTGACAAACCAGGTAACGCCAAACTGAGAAGCAGCAATGTACAAAAAAAAAAAAAAAGAAAAGAGGAGGTATAAGTCCACACGCACACGTGCACGTATGACACTGGTACAATTTAGGCATCCAAAACCAATACGAGCTCCTGTCACATTTGAAACACGCCATTTTCGAGCCCAGCCTCATTATCTGAACTATGTGAGCCAGGAGCTTCTCTGCACATTTATACTCACATGCAGACATCTAAAAACTGCAATGTGACAAATGTTTGTTTGCAAATATGTACGTCATACAAATGCACTTGTCAGAGATCTGCAACTGGGTACAGCTCCCTGCCAAAACGGCACTGAAAACAGCAGCCTGAACTGGCTCATCTACTGAAATGCCCAGTTCTCTTTCTTAAAATATGGGGTGAAATAAACAAGGTGCAGTGAAGCAACACAATGCTTCTTCGGTTTTGTGTCTCTTAAGCTATGCACACTTGAGGCCTCTTAAATCTAAGGTCGAGGGGAAACTGTCAAACCCTGTTACTCCTAATGGAAGAAAAAATGGGCTGTACTGATTCTACCATCTCTTTAACTAAATTCTGCCTATAGAAACTAATTTTGGTGGCCATGAAGATTCTAAATTCAGCATAACTCTTGTTATTTTAACTTTGCAAGTGGATTTTTTTTTCACCTGGTGTGACTTTAGGAATCAGCTATACAAGTTCTTTTCAGCAGTTATCAACGCCTGTACTGGGAAATGTGGCTGTTGTGTCACTCTGAAGAACAGTGAACACTGATTTTTATTTTATTCCTCTACAGCTACCCCAACAGGCTCTCTTGATGACTCACGCAAATAAGCATGCATATTTTGCAAAGTCTGACCCAGGAAAGAGTTAATTAACAGTAATTACATTACTACAAGACAAAAGCCACAGCAAATGGAACTTCTTTGCACAGCACCTTTTACTCTGCACAGAACATCAGTTACAAAACACTGGCAATTTAAAAGATCAGGGCCACAGTTTGAGATGTTGGGGTACAGGACTAGATGAAATCTAAAACATCCATTGGTTTAACTAGCGCACTGGAGAGGGGGGAGACAAGCACAGAATCAAATGTTACCTTCCTTTGGAGAACAACACTCATTTTCCACATCCATGTCAACAATAAAGAACAGCTGGGTTCCAGTTAACATCTACATAAAGCTGGCAGAAGGTAGACTTTCTGGCATTTCTTTGCAATTTCTGCTGCAGTTGGCAAATTCCTCCCAGCTACACTTAAAAACAAATCCGTACATGAAGCTCCATCTGATTTCTAACAGTGAAGCCCCAGGCATACTTTCACAACTGGAACGTTTACTTAAAAGAGGGGAGGAGGATAACTATTCCTGGCCAGCTTTGGTATCCAGAGCTCTACATTACAAGCCAACAAATCAAGTGGCGAGGAAAAACAGAAGCAAAAGGTTCATATTGTCCAAAATCTGTTTCATCTGGTCCAACTGTAGAAAGGATTAACCAATCTGAATCAAGAATTGAGTACAACAGATGTTGAAATTATGTGATTCTTTGGGTTTTGTTTGTGTGCTTGCGGTGTCAGCAGATAAGGTTTTTTTTTGCCCCCATTTCCAAGCAGATGCCAATATATTTCTTAAAATAATTGCAACCGTCTGCCCATGTTACCCTAAGGAATAACAAGTTTTTATGGGAGAACCATAATTTGAGCAATCTAACCTTATTTGGCTGTTGACTTCTGACTGAAGATTTTGCAGTTATCCTTTTATGTTTTACATTACAATCTCTCTCCATTCCATATCCTACTTATACATCTCTATTACTACTTAATTTTTTTCTAAAGTTATTGCATTGTAAAAGTAATGCTGTTTATCTCAGGGAGAAAAGTAATTTTTAATGTTAGACTTCTGATATTATATAGTTTAGAACAGAGAAGCAGCTATTCACATACAAGATTTATGAGGCCAAAATTAAAGGAGAGAAAGCAACCAGCAGCCTTCTGGGAGAAGATTAATGCACATTAACTTGTTTCTCTATAGGCCTTTAAAAACCACCCCACATTGGAGAAAATATATTTGCGTGCCAATTCAGTAGATTGTTGCTGATACAGCATGTGACTGAATTTATTTGCAATGAGTTCTTCTTAATGAAGATGGCCTAAAGCAAAAGTAATGGGCATCATTCATGTTCTAACAACCAATCTGCAGGAAAGCTTCTCTGAGACTGTATGCAGTGAGACCCCTGGAGCATGTTTCTGACTCACATTCTTGTTCCTCCTCATCTTTCTTAAGCAGACATATCGGAGGAAACAAGACACAGATGTTCAGAGCACCACAGTGGTTTTCATGTTGACTTGCTCACTTTTTGCTGTGATCATGGAGCAGTGGGAGAGCAGGTGATCAGCGGCTGGGGCAGCTGGGGGAGTGTGTGAACTTCTGAACTCTTTGGAGATAAATAAATCCACCCAGGCCCTTCAATGCAAGTTCCTCTGGCAAATTTCATATTCCTTTCCATTCTATCAAACTTCCTTATGCCTTTGATCAGACACTTTCAAAATATTTACCATCTGTGTCCTTACTTAAGCCATCTCACCATATTTCTCACTGATAATGAATGGTCTATCTGTATTTTAGCCAGGAAAAAACAGAGCCCATTTCAAGAACAGGCTGCTTCATGAATACTAGTAAGAATTTTTCTTAGAGAAAAAGGAACTTGCAGGGACAAAAGGTGAGTGTCTACTCTAAGAAAAATATATGTGCTCCTAGCAATATGAAGAAGAGTTCATAAAAAGTGCAAAAAGAATCCCAGACCTAAGAACTATATTTCTAACACCTTCTTGGGTAAGAAATTCCTATTGCATTGTTAATTGATTTGAGTCAACTTGACTTTGTGCAAAAAATATCCTCAAGAAGGGCCTGGCTCATTTTTGTAATAAATGAAAAGAAAAATAAATATAGCCATCTAAGAACTGTAAAAAATAAAACCACGCTGAATGTTCAGAAGACGGCATGGGTTCAATATAACCAATGCGCATTAAGTAACCAGAGCAGGAGCATTAGAATTTCTTATTACAAAATGGTCATGGCATAGCCCTGCTTTATTAAATAATGTTCCCAAACACCCAGATTGAAGCAATGATGTCGTTACACTAATGGCAACTGCATGGAAAGTGAGCCTGAGATATGTTGTTAAAAGGCAAATCTTTGTAAACATTTCCTCAAAAGGAATAGTAGCAATTGAGTACGTATCAGTTACTCATATTCATTTATAGAGCAATGCTTATAAAACACATACAGCCGAGTTCCAGAAGGACATTTCATACACTGGCGATGTGTCAAAAGTAACGTCATCCATCCAGTCCATAAGTTATTTAAGCCATGTACTTTGTTTCACTTAACCAGCATTTACTAGGTCTTCTGCTCTGCAGCCGTTGCCGTCTGTGAGGGAGTATCTGGCTTTACAATTTGGTATGTAATCAGATACTCAGGGTAAGCCTAAGAATAAGCAGATTAATCCAAATTAGAAAGAATTATACTATGTAAGGGCATTGCATATTATTCTGGAACCAGGGGAGGGAGAGCATTCTAGCTTGTTTTAACATTACTAACAGCAATTTCATCTTGCTTCACACCAGAAACATGAAGCAAAGGAGACTTCTGTCCTTTTCTACTATACTGCGCCAAAACAGACTTTGTGCATCTGATGATTATTAACCCTCCTGTCACTGTACCCTGCATATGATACAGGTTACTCTTTGCCCCACCACACAATGGTTTCCTACATCTGTTCTCCTCCGCCTCCCCCCATGGTGAACAGCACACTGGGATGGGCGGGAGGACAACTAAGCCAACAAGGATAATGTCAACAGTGCTACCATACAGAAAGAATTGACCACTGAGACTGAATACTAAAAGGGCCTAGGATACAGAAAGTCATGTGGGCAACTTGGAGTCTTCCAGATGTTCCCGGTCTGCAATCCCCATCAGCCTCAGAACTCAGCTAGCTGGCTTAGTCAATAGTAAGAGATCATAGGAGTTACAGCCCAACAGCATTTGGGGGACCAGAAGTTGCCAATCTGTATTTAAGGAGTTGGATTTCTGAAAAATTCAGCTTATTGGCAACAGCCTGCTGTTTAAAAGGCAGATCTTTGTAAACATTTCCTCAAAAGGAATAGTATCAAAAGCAGTTTGGAGTATGTTCCCCTTTCCCGGAGTCGGACACTTTTTCACCATTGGCAAAAATGATGCTGGAACTTACAGTTCTAGCCCAGCCTTCCTTCAAGGAGAAATGAATGACAATGCATGGGAATGACACGTTAATTTTGCAAAAGCCCCATGAAGCAGATTAATTTGAGAGCATAACCAGTGGCTGTAGGCTAACCACAGTGCAATACGGATGAGCAAGAACGGGAAGTCAAACCTCCTCAATCCACCTTCAAACCACCAGTTACTCAGCCTCTCAAGGATCATAACAAAAACATTACTCCCAAATTGACTGACTTAATTGTTTCCATCTTGAAATGCTTCATTGTGAAGCACAATTTCTAATTTTTCATTGGCACAGTGAAAACCATTATTGGGAAGCCACCTCTGAAGCACAATTTATTTCTAATTTTTCATTGGCACAGTGAAAAATACAGCTTAAACTACTACTATGCCACTGAATCCTCTCATGCATTGATGACCAAGTAGGATATACCTGCTAAGTCCATAACATGTCTAGGAAGACTTTGGGTTCTGGCAAATCTACAAGCCTATCCTGAGTTCCTTCGCTATCTTTAGATTGTGGAGAGGCTTCACTTGAGAAGTGTGGAAGGCAGAGCCCTGTTTGTAATTGGGGGAGGGGTTGGATGGGCTTGCTTCCTCCCTCTTCTGCAGAGGTGGAGATCTGGCTGGAAGAAAGAAAGAATGAACTAAATGCCCTGCAAGAAGCACTTGGAAGTACTCCTCTTAGTGAGGAAAAAAACAAGAGTTTGGGAAAAGTCTGAACAAGGGTTTAAGGGAACTGAAAGGAGGACAGCTGTTTGGTCTTTCCTTCCTTTGTTCTGCCTTAGTCTTGTCCTTCATTCCTTTGGGCTAGATTCAATTCAAGTTGCTTGGGATTCTCACCATCTCTTTTTCTACAAGAAGCAAACCTACCCTCCCTCTCCCTCATGGTTCAGATTGGACGGAGAGATTTTAAAACAGGAAATCTTAGAAGTCCTTGAAGGGAGAAATCTGCTTGCAGGGCTGGTTTGAAAAAGTCTCTTTTCCCTGGTGGCTCCACTAGGTGGGTCCCAGTTTTCTGGATCAGTAATAATAATGTACCATTAAGTCAATTCTCACATATGGGAAACCTTTTGGGGGGCTGCCAGGTAGAAAATACTCATTCCCTACGTGGAAGCTTCCTTCTTCTGGGGGTGTCCTGGAAGTTCCCAAGGCCACACAGGCAGGCTCTACTCGTGGAGGCACAGTGGGGAATCAAACTCCCAACCTCTGGCTCTGCAGTCAAACACCTAAATCAGTGAGCTATCCAGCCAACTCAATATCAGGAGGAACCAAATTGGAAGCTAAGCCCATTCAGGAATCCATAAGGAAGATGAGGTTATTTCACGTAACAACCGGCTGGGTACTAAGTGACTTACAGGGTATAGAGCATGCCAAATAATGGGCCCTGCTTTCATTAGAATTATTTTTACTTTTCCCATAGTCAAATCCTCCAATGACAGACAGAAAGTCCTTCTGTTTGCATATAAACATTTCTTCTAAAAATCTTTTAAGAAGCTTTGGGGTACCAGTAAGTGTTAAGACTACACAGAATAGGAGGATCAGAATTAGAATAGTTCCACATTTTATACACTTGGGGCTGGAAACAGGGAGCACAAACATGGAGAAAACATATTTACTCTGTAAAGCACAGACCATATGCTTCTAAACATGCACATATATCCTGACCCAGCCAGAGATACAGTCTATATATTTCTTCTGGGAAATACCAGTATGCCACTGGTGATATGCACAACAAGTGGATCTGTTGCATAAAACATGACCTGACTGGTATACAGACAATGCAGATAAATTAATTGGTACAATTATGTAGCAAAGAACTTAATCTATGAATGCAACAAAGTGCACACTATTTGCATTGGTCACCTACCTGTTCTCCTCTATAGATGACATACTCAGCATATGCAAGTCCATTTACACTTGGCCTGCCAATGACAGAGTGATGCCCAGGAGGGGCATGCGCCATTTTCATGGTGCTAAACTGTAAGAAGGATTTTCCCAGTGTCACACGACAAAAAAGCATTTGTCTAAAACAAAGGGGAAAAAGAAAACAAATTAATTTCACTTGGGAAAAAAGATTTAATATGTCTGATAAACAGGGAGCTGAAACGTCTGTCAGCTATTTATGTTGGATTCCTTACAGCATAATAATAATTTAAGTGAGTTATCAATTTTTTTTTAAAAGATCAAGTCTGTGTTTCTACAAACACTGCAGTCTCTCCATTACATCCTGCCTACACATCTCTGTTGCTACTTAGTTTTTAACTTTTGCCTTTTTTCCTGAAGTTACTGCACTGCAAACAATTACTAAATACCTAGACTTTCATTGCAGTCAGAACATTCACGTTTTCCTTGTGACAAAATCAATGGTTAATCAGAGGGCCGGGACACATCTGCTAGCCTACAGAAGGATGCAAGTCTATGCAACAGTTCTCAAGGCGAAACGCCCCCATTTCATCAAAATCTAATTTCTCAGGCCATGCCTCCTTGGCCTGTCAGTCGTGATCTAAAAGGCAGGGAAGCCAAACTCCTGCTACTACCAGCTTTCTTTGGTCAGTAAAACCCACCAGCACAAAGTCAGAAGGTGCGGCTCTTTGGTGTGACAATGCAATTCTAACATAACAGAACCATACTGGCATTTATATTCAGTTAAGAAAACGGACAAGGTGTACTGTCTCCGCCGCTACCATTTTACTTTAACATGCAACCACTTTTTGTTCCATTTGGACAATATTATACCCACCCCACGAATTAATACAGCTCACCAGAAACCCACCTGTGGCAGATATAACAGGACCTGTCCTTATGTGTGGGGCAGCCCGTGCCTCCACCTATTCCATATACATATTGGTTACTCTTAGAGGAATTCTCTGCAAAGTAAATCCCAGCTCCAAACATCCCTCCAATGTACGCATGTCTCTCATCAAATCCCTTGTGAATGATAGCATTAATAAAAGGTGAACCTGGAAGAGAACATAGAACTGTGCATTTCCATTCGGTATGTTTTATGATTTTTGCATATCAAAGGAAAACACCATAGTCTCCATTCTAAATGTGGCAGAAAACTAGGCCAGCTAGCCAAGCCATCCTCAGGAGTTAGGGTGAAATTATGACCGGGAGAAGGAGTTAGGCATTTCTGTTAAGTGTCTCGTTAGACAATTTGTCAACCTTAAAAAGAACATGAGCTTCTCGGCATCTCCCTCTGTCTCAGGCCCTCTCTGCTGTCTTGCCCCATGTGCGCAATGGAAAAAACACTAATTCAGATGGCTTGGCTGGTAGTGGTGCCAAAGAATGCGCGCCCCACCCCCAATTCAGTGAGACTGTCTGGGGAAGAAGGCAACATATTCAGAGAAAGAATAGTAAGCCCAGGACTGGATCCTATATTGTGTGAGGGGAGGTCTGCCTGCCCATGAGGAGCTTCCCCCATGTCATCCCACTACAACTCTCCAAGCCCTTGCAACCCTTTCTCTAGAGGGCCAGGTAACAGCTGATCCTGTTTGTCTCTGAATATAGAGAGAAGCGGAATGTATGAAAAATATCATGTAAAGATACCCTAAACGACTCTGAATCCAGCTCAAAGTCATCATCCTGTCGGGAAACATTTGTGGAAGGGAAATAAAAGAGCAAAAATGCTGTTCATTTAAATGTTTACAACTTGTATAATAATCTGGCTATCTATTCAAAGAGGTGATCTCTACTTACCGTGAAACAACATGCGTTCATTGTGATGGTTATGATTTTCTTCTGAAACTTCTTTTTGCCTATGACAGAATCTTTCCCTCAGCTTCTTATTTACAACCTTCTGAATCTATAAAAGGATAAAGGAGGTGGTGGAAAAAACATGACAGAGAAACAGTAGACTCCAGAAATAATATTTCTCTGGAAGCTGTATCTTCATGCACAGTTTTAAGACGGTCACAGCCCAATTAATACTTCACGGCTAGCCCTCCTTACTTTTAATAAATCTTCAAAAATACATATTACAAACAGCCACAAGTAGTCACGTCTACACAAATTGTGAAATCAGTGTAATCACTGCAAAACACATAAGATACTATACTAAGGCTTTTTCTTCTGAGCCACATTTTTCTCCATGATACCAGCAGAAGAAATTTGCTTAACTTTCTTTGGATGGTATGCATCAGGAAATTAACCACTACACAAAGAAAATGCAGAGAGGAGCTTATGCCACCTGCCTGCTCCCCTGGACATATGGCCCTTGAGAGAAGGGGTAAATGGCAACAATCTTTTGCTGAGCTTAAGAGGCTGCTGTGTTGCTCTCTCCCTAAACAGACAAAGGAAGGGATGCCTCTGGAGGGGCTCTGCCATGCTCTTCTTCTGAAGGGGAGGAGATGCTATTTTAATTTGGGGGACAAGCATGATTGTCATTTGTAATCATGAAGATGACAAGATGTTTTTCCTTGTCAAAAGCTTGCTATTTATTGTTTTATTAAAGGTTTTTTTTTTAACTTGGAAGCTAACTCTGTGAAGTTTTCTGAGCCAATTCAGTCTGTTTGGTCTGGGATTGGTTGTCTTTTTCTAAGCATGATTAAATTTACTGCCCAAGCCAGAAAGGCCACGAAGCACAATTGAAATAGGTGGGAAGAAACACAAAGTGTTGTTATTTCTGAAGACCTTGAATGAAAGTAAAGTAGTCGTCCAAGTAAGTGGATAAACCAACTAACTTCACCATCTCCTTTTTCCTCCCTCTTCCTTTACCACCTCCACCAAAGCCAAAAAATTATATAATATAAAACTGCCAGATCAAAACAAGTCTTCAAATGAAAACAGTCAAAGGAATTTCAAGGTAAATAAATAGACATCTTCCTCACACTTCTATCAGCCTTTAAGGATCACTTTTTTAAAAGTGTCTAAATAAATGTCCTTTCCATTTTCCATTTATGAGTGAGCTTGGCAACGGTTTTATTCCTAGGCAATCAAAATCCCTGAAACTTACCCTGATGACGTTGTATCTATTGAAGATTCCTCCGGCATTGCCACCATCTCTGTGCTCCCTGATGGTACTCTGCATCTGCAGAACAGTTGGATGGTATATAGTGAGATTCCCATAATATAACATTTCAGAAATATGCAGAAATGTCTAGATTGGGACTGTGCTGCTGGCCTGGCATTTATGTTATGATGGAAGGATCTGGACAAACCAGGAATCAAGGAGGAAGACTGCATCTCACCTGTATTGCCTCTTCCATTTCCTGAGGGATGGGGGAAAGGGAGAAGCAACCGGGAAGCAAATGTTCTCCACAATTTTGGGTGGGTGGGAGGAGAAAGCAAGGTTTGAAGACAATTTGCTTGTCCTGTTTCCTGCCCATTCCAGAAAGGAAACAGCAATGGGAAACAGGAAGTAGAAACCATCTATATTTACTATCTTCAAAGAAAAGGAAGTAGAAGAGGAGATACAGATTATCTGTGACACACAGGCCAGAATCCTGTTGGGGAAACAAGAGCAATTATGCTAGTCGTGTTTCCCCTCTTTCAGGCTGTCTTCCTCTCGCCTGATAATACACTGGTTGCAAAATTGTGCACACTACTGTTCATGCAAAGGCCAGTCTACCAGAGGGGTGGGAACCACTGCAGGATGGTTTCTTCCGTGGACAGTTCCTTGACACAGGGGTTTGCCCAGAATTCCTGGCTAAAACAGGAGAAAAAAAACTGTACTCTTACATTCTGTTCAATATAATCTTGCGTAGAGCAGGAAACAATATTTTCAATGTCTGTTTTAAGCAGCACATTAAAATAAGAACAGTCCCTTACACTATAATTTCATGTTTTGATTAAGCAGAGATAAAGGTGATGAAAGAATTGCTACATTCAACACAGGCCCCCTTACTAGCTCCCAGCAATCTCACGGGGCAACTGGTGGCAGTGAACATAGCGGGGCAGTGTGGATGTTACACCAGAAGACTACATCAGATGATGGTTTGTTTTTTGGGGGGGCTTTTTACATCATCAGTGAAGGTCAACATTTGCTAATGTTATGCATCCAGACTTTGGGGGCTTGGTCCCCTGTTATATATAGGCACATCTCACATATGTAATCAACCTATAAATGCCTGAAACATTTTGGACAAAGGCAAATCACACTTGATACACATATGCACATGAAACAGTAGTTCAGTGGTTGTTTTTAGTGGGCCAATAGATTAGTGTGGTTACAGGCAGAGAGGAGGCTATCACTACATGTTTTCCATCCTAGTTATTACTCAAAAACTGTTTCAAAACATACTTGAACACATTTTGAACAGTATCAGCAATCAGTAAGAGTGCTCTGGTTTTTAAAGCAGAGATATTAGGAGGAGGTACATTTCATTTCCAGACAATGGGAGAATAAGGCAGTGAGAGAATGTAAATGTTCAATATACCCTCAAGTCTTGATGAAAGACACTAAGATAGAGACAAACATAAACCCAAGTTATTCTGCAACTATATATAAGCATCATGGGTGTTCCATTTAGAAGTACAGATGTGTTCCTATCTGCCAGTGGCATCTGCCACTAATTAAAGGGTGAGTTAAGCATATAAGATATAGCTGGATAGCTCCATTTAGGTATTTGGCTGATTTTGATTCCCCACGGTGCCTCTCACAAGTAGAACCAACCTGTGTGGCCTTGGGCAAGCTGCACAGTCCCAGGATGTCTCCAGAAGAAGGGACTGGTAATCAATTTCTGAGTTTTCTCTACCTAAAAAGGATTGTCATTAGAACTGACTTGATGGCACATGATTATTATTATATTATTTAAAATGGGGAACGAACTTTGAGCCTAAAACATTTGTTTCTATGTGCGGCTTGGTTTGCTCTGTGTTGGAATATTTATTTCTCTTCCTTCTTTCTTTCAAACAACAAAAAAGAGTAACCTTCAAAATGTTCCAGTGATTAGTATGCTGGATTATTAGTCATCCTATCTATCAAAACAGTAATCAATGTGGATTACATATGTGCCAAATGTCAGCCTTCATTTTGAAATAAACAAATTCAACACATCCATGTCTCCATCTCAAATGCGTTTCTCAACATAATTTTTACCTCTTCTTCCACAGATTGATACTCTTTGTCATCAGGAGCTAAGTCTATAAGAATAGTTCCCTGGCTGACGCAGTGAAAAGTCAAGTACGGATTAGTGCCTGAAGAAAAGGGGAAACAGATTGAAGTGATCAGATCTGCACAGGTACACATATACAACACAACAAAGTACAAGTCTTTATTTTGACGGACAGTTGTCTCTTTTGTTATTGAATAATTGCAGCATTGAGGACTCACTCAAAACACAGGCACACTGATGCATCCTTCTGCTGCTTTAACTTCTGCTCCATGTAAACACAAGAGGTTTGCTTCACTGATTCCTTGAAGAGGCACAAAACCTCCACTTACCTAGAATTAAGTCCACCCAGCACATTAAATTTCATTAGTCTATTATACATCAGTTGGATTGCACTGGACCAGTCAAGGTGCACAGGAGTGTGCTATTTGTGTATGTTGACACTAGACACTATCAAAACCTGTGATTCATTTCAGCTCTTCCACACCAGCAGTTATGTACTATATAGGGAATGGGATTATACTGTAGTATTTACTTGGGGTGGACATTAAAGTACCAAAAGGATGTATTACTGTGTCCAATATTTTGGGTGAAGAGAGCAGTGATCCACAATAAAGAATCCTGCACTTTTTGGGAGTACAGCTGCAACCATAACATTTTGCTTTAATCCAAAGGGTTTCAGGGGTGGACAGCACTAAGCTTCATTTCTTTTTACCGTAAAAGTAAAAAGTGCTGGGAAACTGAATTCTGTGCTTACTGAAGAACTTAAACAGTCATGCACACTACAATACGTTACTCACAAAGCTTGAGACTTAAGGCAAGACACATTAACACACTTACCTTGCTGCCCACCTAGAAGTCTCTCTACACCTTTTATTAACTTATGACGATGTCCATAAGCATTGATGCCAATTTCTTTCAGCTCTTCATGTCCCATGTCTGCTAGTACATCCAAAGTGATCTGGATAGACCAGACAAAACAAAATATATGTTATATTAGGTCATTTGAGCCTTTCATAAACAGCGTAAGGAAGATTATATAAATGACTTAACACTACTGAAGTAGTCCACTTCCAGTATAAAATAGTCTAATAATCTTTACATTTTAATTTGTTTTTCATTTAACCCATATTTCATATACATCCATAATTTTAAATTGTGCAATGCTCTGATACAAATAAAGAAAGACTTAATTGTGCTGTTTCATTCACCTCTGCTATTCTGCCGATCTCCCTTCTTTCCCTTTTACTGTGTCTCCCCATTATTAAAATATAGACCCTTACAACCTCTGGGCAGGATTTGTTGCCCTTAAATGCTCCATCAATGACTGCTCACATACTACTATTACAAGAACCACACTTTCACTGGGACAACTTCCCAGCCTCAAATCAGTATCTGACTTCTCAGTTTCTAATCACTTATCCATAAAAGCTATTCTTGGGGGCAGGGGGCAGGAATCCTGCACATGCCATTACTTCACTGCTTGAAATTTTATGTATTTCAAGAAACCATATTTTAAAAAAGAATGTTTTAGTGTTGGAGATTATAGATGAATGACAGAATCAGCACTGATAATAATTCAGTTCTGAAATGTTGGTTTAAAGATTGCTAAGTTCTCTTAATATTTCACTGCATCTGAAAACGTAAGGAAACAAGATGAACAAAAATGTGCACGTAAATAATGAGAAACAAGGTTAAAGGCATAAATTGTCAATGCTCAAGAAGCTCCATTAAACAGTGTGGAAGCCACAGACGTTTATGCCATGATACATGTGTTAGTTTTCTAGAAATTGTTTGAGCAAGGAAGTGTGAACCTTTTCAAATCCTAACTGTCAGCTCTTTAAAAAAAAACCAACCTATTTGAATTCAGCAAAACAAATGTTGTACTATTCATGCCAGCATAATGTTGGTATTGAACACTAGAACACTAGGGACTAGGATTCTAAATGCCCACTGAGCTTTCCTGGAGAGCGATCAGCTGAAATCACCTGCAGCACATGTGAATGATGGAGTCATGTGTACTACTAGTATCCTACTATCTGTGTAGCCTTCGGCAAGTTGCACAAACCCAGAGTGCAACTAAAAGGAGGGCCTGGTGAAGCACTTCTGCAGGCTCTATCCCTAGAAAACTCCAAGATAGCCACAAGGCCCCCCCCCCCAAATAATCCATTTGGATCTGAGGAAGAGACATCAAATAAAAGGTCCTTCCTTGGTCATTACTAAGTCTTCCATATCACTTACTACTACCATGTTTCCCTGAAAATAAGGCAGGGTCTTATATTACTTTTTGCTCCAAAAAACCAGTAGGGCTTATTTTCAGGGGATGTTTTATTTTTTTCATGTACAACCATCTACATTTATTCAAATAAAGTCATGTCATTTTCTGGTTGCTGCACAATGGTGGAGGGCGGGCTTTCACTTAACTGGGGCTTATTTTTGGGGTAGGGCTTATATTACGCACATCCTGAAAAATCCTACTAGGGCTTATTTTCAGGTTAAGTCTTATTTTCAGGGAAACAGGGTATGTTCCACCCAAATTACGGAACCAGCTTCCAGCCAGTAAAATTCTATGCCAATCGTTTTTGATTTTTTGTTTTGTTTTGTTTTTGCAAGGAACAAATGGACTCTAAGGAGAATGTCTACATATACAGAGTTCTGTTATACTCTAAGGGTTTAATGAAACATCACTTAAAGATTGCAATGATCTAATATTCCTAATATTAGTATCTTAATGGAACAAGAATGTTCTCCCAACATGAACAGGGGGTACCACAATCACCCAGAACAACTGTAAGGGGCTTAAAACAAACAAACAAACAAACAAACAAAACAAGAGGAACTGGCAAAAATTACTATTTCATCCCTTCTTCCAGTAGCAAAGCAGAAGTCTGTCAAACAACATTGGGACTCAAATCCAATCACTGGGAGTCAAGCATCTTCTTTTAAAGCTATCTTCACCTTATTTCTTGAAAAGCAGGCATTGCTGAAATCCTATTGCGCAGCTCCACATGTGCAACAGTAATGATGTCATGATCAGTGGCAAATCACAATTAACAGCAAATTCCTGCTGATTAAAACCGACAAGTTTGTGTGCACCCTCAAATCTCTGAAAGCAGCCTTAATCAGCAGCTGTCCCTGTTCAAATTCCACCAATACAGTACATCCCAGTATTAAGACCGAAATACATATAAAATGTGCAATGTTACTGTGGAATGAAATCTATTCTTTTGCAATACAAATGTTCCAGTCTTACCTGTTCTGTTTCAAAGATATCCCGAAGATGCTCGAGACCAAGGCTTTTCAGGAACTGGCTGATATTCATGTCAAGCCCAACAACTACAATAAGAAACACAGATCACAATAACCTTCAAGAAAGGCATCTAGGACGCAGGAAACAATCTATCAACCTTTTAATTTCAATCCATAACTAACTATAGCACCTTCTGTTATCTACTTTACCCCACAAGCAAAAATAACCCTGCTTCATGAGATTTCATTTTAAAACTGCACTAGACATCCATCCATTAGCCACAACTAAAGCACACCCAATGAAATCAACGGGAATTTCTAAGTCAAAGTGGGCCACAGTGCTAGAAGGAGATGCAGAGAAAGATATACAGGGTGTGGGTGTGTCCCTTTGCATAAAGGCTTCCAGTGATTCAGGACAAATGCTCAGGAACTCTGATGGATGTACTTTACATGCCTTTCAACTCCTCAAACAACTACGTGTGAAGGTAATATCAGGAGAGATTACTGCAAAGGCTTTTTCAGGTAATATGAACTTTATACTTTGACAATGGCTTAAAGGAGAGGTCTCCAACACCCAGTCCGCGGCCTGGTCTGGCTCAGGCCACAGAAAGACCTCTCTCCCACCACCGCACACACTCTCCTCCACGCAGCCCATTTGCACCTGCGTCCACATGAGCACTCCCCAACTCCTTCGTGCATGCAGACGAGTGCCCCCTGAGTGCTCTGCCACCCTTTCTGCATGTGCACAAGCATGTGTGCGGCTGCATGAGTGCCCCCGCTCCTTCGCGCATGCGCACGAGTGCAGGGGGGGTGCCCCGCCTTCCCCAACCGGTCCGCGGGGCTAAAACGGTGGGGGACCACTGCCTTAAAGAACATGGTCAGACACACCTGTACAATGTGGCAGCTATCACAGTGTAATCACATGTTTCCTCAGAGGTTAGTCTTGCTATACGCCAGAGCAAGAGTGGGCAATATGTGGCCCTCCCAATATTGCTGGCCTGCAAATCCCATGATCCTTTGTCTTTGGCTGTGCTGGCTGGAGATCATGGGAGCTGCACATTTCAGCGGAAGGGCACAAGATGGCAACTGTTGCATTGGGACTTCCTCCTTCATAAATGTTTCTAGGGTTACAGACTTAGGATCTTCAAACTATTAGCATGCTTACCTTCTTCTTTCCTCTCTGCTCCTGCTGCTCCATCTCCAGCATTTGACGCACCTCCCACAGCAATTTCTGCTAAAGGTCCAGCAAGGTTGTCTATACTGCTGGCAGCAGACAGACAGGATGGAGTTGATGCTGGCGAAATGATAGAGGCACTCACTACAGTAGCTTGAGGTTTAAAGCAGGTTGGCAAGGCCTCTGGAGGCATCGCATCAATTAGCAGAGCCCGGATATCATCAGCCTGAAGGCAAGAATGTTGAGAAGATAATGTTAAATATATATATATCAAAATTAGTAATCAATTGTTTCTTGAAGGTACCTCTTACGCCGCCCCTACGCCTCCGCTAAGCATCGCTTGGTGTGGAAGGGAAGGGAAGCCAAGAAGAGGAGGGGAACTGGGCGCGCTCTCCTACTCGTATAGCGAAATTCCCCCATAGGAAACACTGTTTTGCGAAGCGCAATGGCGGTCGCAAAACCTCATCGTCATACGAATTCATCGTTTTGTGAGGCCATCGTTTTGCGAGGTACCACTGTACAGGATGTGGGTGTGTCCCTTTGCATAAAGGCTTCCAGTGATTCAGGACAAATGCTCAGGAACTCTGATGGATGTACTTTACATGCCTTTAAACTCTTTGAACAACTACGTGTGAAGGTAATATCAGGAGAGATTACTGCAAAGGCTTCTTCAGGTAATATGAACTTTATACTTTGACAATGCCTTAAAGCAGAGGTCTCCATCCCCCAGTCTGCGGCCTGGTCTGGCTCAGGCCGCAGACAGACCTCTCTCCGACCGCCGCACACACTCCCCTCCACGCAGCCCGTTTGCACCTGCGTGCGCACACCTGCATCCACATAAGCACTCCCCAACTCCTTTGTGCATGCAGACGAGTGCCCCCTGAGTGCTCTGCCACCCTTTGTGCATGTGCACAAGCATGCATGTGGCTGCATGAGTGCCCCTGCTCCTTCGCGCATGCGCACAAGCGCAGGGGAGTGCCCTGCCTTCCCCAACCAGTCCACGGGGCTAAAAAGGTGGGGGACCACTGCCTTAAAGAACATGGTCAGACACACCTGTACAATGTGACAGCTATCACAGTGTAAATCACATACATGTTTCCTCAGAGGTTAGTCTTGCTATATGCCAGAGCAAGAGTGGGCAATATGTGGCCCTCCCAATATTGCTGGCCTACAATTCCCATGATCCTTTGTCTTTGTTTGTGCTGGCTGGAGATCATGGGAGCTGCACATTTCAGCGGAAGGGCACAAGATGGCAACTGTTGCACTGGGACTTCCTCCTTCATAAATGTTTCTAGGGTTACAGACTTAGGATCTTCAAACTATTAGCATGCTTACCTTCTTCTTTCCTCTCTGCTCCTGCTGCTCCATCTCCAGCATTTGACGCACCTCCCACAGCAATTTCTGCTAAAGGTCCAGCAAGGTTGTCTATACTGCTGGCAGCAGACAGACAGGATGGAGTTGATGCTGGCGAAATGATAGAGGCACTCACTACAGTAGCTTGAGGTTTAAAGCAGGTTGGCAAGGCCTCTGGAGGCATCGCATCAATTAGCAGAGCCCGGATATCATCAGCCTGAAGGCAAGAATGTTGAGAAGATAATGTTAAATATATATATATCAAAATTAGTAATCAATTGTTTCTTGAAGGTACCTCTTAAATAGATAATCTGGAGTCTAATTTTAGGAACACTCCTATTCTTTTAAAAGGCACACACTTGCAAAAACCTGGGGTCACCAGCCTTTGAAACTGAATATGGTTGCATTTATTGGAACTTACCCCAAGAGGCCTGAAATACATTTGTATTTTGAACAACTAGTAATATAGTTTTAGACCAGCCTGCCAAAAAAAGAGAATTCTGGTCTGGCTGCCAACATGGTGCAATTAATCTACTGCAGAATTTAAACAGGAGAAATCCAGATTCAAACCCGTTTAGGCTTTAGGTACACAGTTCAGTACTAAATGATTCACACACACTCAGCCTAACCAGCCCTAAGAAGATTAAATTGTGCTAATCCTACATCTGCCAGACGGTGAAGCCCTTAGAGAAAGGATGAGACAATAAATGTCAAATCATACTAGTCAGTAAGTTAGTGGACTGAAGTCTATCCATCCTTTTCAAAAGGAACTTACTGTAGCCAGATCCAAAGGTGTTTGGCCTTCTTGGTTCTTCATTGTTGGATCTGCTCCGTGAGCCAAAAGTAGAGCACACAGCTGCGTCCTTCCTTTTTGTGCTGCTTCATGCAATGGTGTAAATGCCCATTTATCCGTTGCATTGACACAGGTATTGTATTTGATCAGCAAAGCTGCTATATCTACGTGCTGGGGTGGGGGTGGGTGGGCAGAAGGTGGGAAAAAAAGAGTAGAGTAGCAACATATTTAATGAAAAAGGACCAAGAATTCAAACTTTTGAATGGTTCATTGTGCATTTAGAACTCCAGCATAGGATGTCTTCGATGCTGGAAATGGATTAACGGACTGAGAATATGTATCCATATTTTACACAGGTGTGCACACAGACATGCATAGGACAAGACCAAGTTAGCCTTTATGGACTACCCAGTATGTGTTGTTACTTCAAGCTGGGATAATCCAGCAGTTCTGTTATCTAGAGCTCCCCTAAAGTGTGTGAATGCACACAACTGTAGAAAATGAAAAAGGTGACTATAATTAGGAAACGATATGGAAAAAGGTAGGAACCTCTCAGAATCTATGGGGGAACATAGGTGGCTGTCCTATAAATGGTAATCTGTGAAATGCTTAGCATGCGCCCACTGAAAACTAAACATCTATTTCATCTACCAAGTAATGAGAAGAATCCCACTGCTCTCTTAATTTCTGATTAGGCATTGCTGTGTATTAAATTCTTTATCACCTGTTTACCAAATGGTTATCTGTCTTCAGTGAATAGGTAAAAATTGACGGACAGTTTATTTACACTATTTCTGTTGGATACACTTGGCAAAAAGTATTCTGTTTTCCATTTGACCAATTGTAACTTCTAATCACTGTAGTAATTAACAATGGCCAATACACCATACTTGTACCTTGGCAAATCTCTACAGATTTTAGGCTGCTAATGTTTTGTTTTGTTTTTTGCTGTTTTTAACTTGTTTTGCGGATGTCCTTCCTTCCTTCCTTCCTTCCTTCCTTCCCTCCCTCCCTCCCTCCCTTCCTTCCTTCCTTCCCTTCCCTTTGTAGTAATTAACAATGGCCAATACACCATACTTGTACCTTGGCAAATCTCTACAGATTTTAGGCTGCTAATGTTTTGTCTTGTTTTTGTTTTTTTGCTGTTTTTAACTTGTTTTGTGGATGTCCTTTCCTTTTCCCTTTTCCCTTTTCCCTTCCTCCCTTCCTCCCTTCCTTCCTTCCTTCCTATTATTTCATACTAAGTTGCACTAACGAATCTACAGAAAGTCAGGATACGATGCTTACCCCATAGGATGCTGCATTATGTAGTGGGATTAATCCTCCTTTGTCCTGAGCATTGACATCAGCACCATGCTCTAGAAGATATTCAGCCACTTCCAAATTATTGTACCCGGCTGTATGAAGAAAACGCAGCAACGGAAAACTTAATGATTCAGAAAAATCATAGTATTTTTCAAAATCTCCCATTTCCTCATACTTTTATTTTATGGTTATATAAATGCCTCATCATGTTACTGTGTGACAGCTCACTCACCAGCAAGATGGAGTGGAGTGGAGTTTCGTCCCTGAGTATCTCGGCAATTGATGTTTTCTGGAGAACATAACTTCTGAACTCGCGCCAGGCAGCCCTTTTTGGCAGCATCCAGAAGGGCAGCATCACCTCGCAGAAGGTCCTGTATATCTGTGTCTCCCTCTTTCACCAAGTCTAGAGGTGTGTTGCCATCTCGATTCTTTTTTGTTGGATCCGCTCCATGCTACAAAGCAACAATTTCCACAGTTTACTAAGAGTAATGAAATGCAGACTTCCCCAATTATTTATACTTTAATATTCATAGAATACCATTGTGTGTTGTGTTCTCCAGACAATGAACCAAAGCTTAAAATCTAGATTTAGACAGGGAGGGCAAGTGAAGCAGTAACAGAATCCAGTTATACAACAGTACTTGGACTGAAACAGATTCCATGGCCTTCCCACTCCAAGGTAGGGATGTTACTGAAAATCACACCCATGTTTGAAAGCATGAGCTATAATACATCTAGGGCACAGAACTCAGGGAAAAAAATTAGATAACCATCTGTCAGACGCACTTTGACTTGGATTCCTGAACTGAGCAAGAGGTTGGACTCAATGGCCTTAAACACCCCTTCCAACTCCATTATTCCATGACAGGTGCACTAAGGACTCTGCCTAAGGACTGAGAACAAAACAAGTAGCAACTCTGAAAAACAAAACAGGCCTACTTCACTCAGCCTGCTTCACAGATTACCAGGCTCACAGCAAAAAGCTATTAAGCACAGTTGTCCATTACAACCTGGACAAACTCCAAAGGGAAGAATATATGGCCTGTAACAGAAATAAAATAAATTGTATTGTACGCATACAACACTGAAGACATGTGGATGAACTTATTAAAACCTGCCCCATACATTTAGGATAAAAAGATACTCTGGTATTTCTTTATATCCAATATTTTCTTTTTAAGCACTCACTTCTTAAACGCAATATTATCACATGGTGTTGCAACATAATGTCTTGCTATGCCTACAGTGATGCCTCGCTAGACAGATACCCCGCATGACAGTTTTTTCACTAGACATTGGCTTTTTGTGATTGCTATAGTGATTTGCAAAACAGTGATTCCTATGGGGGAATTTCGCTGGACAATGTTTGGTCCCTGCTTCGCATACCGATTTTCGCTAGAAGACATTTTGACAGCTCCCTCCGCACTCGCAAACAGGTGTTTTCGGGACCTAAGCTTCGCAAGATAGCTATTTAAACAGCTGATCAGCGGTTTGCAAAGCGGCTTTCCTATGGCCAATCTTTGCTAGACGACGACAATTCTTCCCCATTGGAATGCATTAAACAGATTTCAATGCATTCCAGTGGGGAAATGCTTTTCGGTAGACAATGATTTCGCTAAACAGCGATTTCAGTGGAACGGATTATCATCGTCTAGCAAGGCACCACTGTACAGTGAACCCTTGACTTACAGACGGCTTGACTTACAGACTTTTTGAGTTACAGACTTCTCTGGCTGCAAAATTTAGGTTTGACTTGCAGCCTGAGAATTGACTTACAGACCAGAAAAAAACCAAAATGGAACAGAAACGGCCTGTTACGGGATTAATCGGTTTTCAATGCACTGTAGGTCAATGGAGACTTGACTTACAGACTTTTTGACTTGAGAACTGCCTTCCAATACAGATTAAGTTCTCAAGTCAAGACCCCACTGTACACTGAAACTCAAGAGCCTGGGAAATCTCCAACTAACAATTCATTACTGAGAAAATCACTCTCTTTCACAAGAATGTATTAAGTTTCAAGTTTACTACTATTGATCTTCCTTCCTAAATATTTCTTCTTTCAAACAAACATACTATCTTGATCATCAAAATATTGTTTGTTGGAAGGCCTGAGCCTTTGCTTCCTTATCTTTTAATACACATAAGCTAAGAAAATCTCCTTTATATCTAGTATTTTGAACAAATAGATCCCTGTTGCCTAAAATGTCTTTCTTGCGAAGAACCAACTCTGCTTTCTACTCTTTAATTCACTCAATTATTTCCCATCTTCTAGCATGATTAAACAGCTCAACAGCTTCACAGTGAACTGGCCGTGCTCCAGGTCTACATTCAGCCTTACCCCATGGGTTAAGTGGCCTGATATAATGACATGCATCAACCTTCACATCAAATATAACATTCAATTCAGTGTTGATGGAATTAGCATTGTGTTATATGCTCAGATAGACACTGGCATCAGCTGCATGCTGGCATTTCCCCCTTGTTAGATTAAGATGAATATTTCAAATCAAATCTTTTGTTCCATATTTAATTCTAAAAAAACAAAGAAATGGAAACAGAAGGAAGGTTCTTCTAATTAATTTTGATTGTTGCTTCTTTAAAATGATTATTAAATATGCCTCAAAAAAACCCATATATAATTACCATGTTTTCCTCCTGAGGAATTTTTTTTTCAGAAAAGCAAATTAACTTGTGGCTACAGTTGCTCATCAAAGAAGGAATTCTGCTACCATGACAACTGGTGAGAAGCCAGCAGAAGAGATTACTCCATGGACGCTATAATTCGGATTACAGGTGCTGCCATTTTCAGAGAAACAAACCAGCCTTTCCTTCATAGCTGTAAGAAATCCAGCTGGATGCTGCCAAAGTTTCATATCATAAGGAATTCTCTCTGTAATTTGGTGAAGGGGAAAATCTCTATCCTAATAAGCCAATTCTTTCAGCAAAGATCGCTCCCAAACAGCTGAGGCTTGTAAAGAGCTTCTGATTCTGCTCTTACAGATGCTAAAGGAGCTGGAGCAATACCTAGGTCTGGTACACATGGTTTCCAATCCAGGAAAACCAAATGAATGTCAAGGTGGGGGGTGTGTGTGACAATACTTCTGTCCATGCTGGAGAACAGAACAGGGAAGGACTGAGTCTGTGCCCTTTTCATTGGGTTGCCAGAAACATCTGGGTGGCTACTGTTTGAATGCAAATGCTAGGCTAGATTAAGCAATGTTCTGGGCATCTTACATTCCTGTGAACAACATACTATTTGGTGCAGAAAATGTGCTAAGCATAGCTCCTTTTCCCTGTAAACAAAATGGACATTAAATGCCATTAAAGGTTTCAGAACAGAACAAAATGGACAGGATTCAGGTAGCTCCTCTCAGGTTTTTGTATCCTCAGTCATGTCTCAGAGATTGGTAACTTCATTGTTTTAGACCATTTTGTGTAGAACAGAGATCACGAAAAACAATGCTCAAAATCTGCACATGCTCATTTGAATACAAATGGGACAGAACAAAATAAGTAAGATGCCAAAAGAATTTTTTCAATGTTCTCTAGTCTCTGGGAAGAAATTCTAACACAATGTTTTTTTTTGTTTGTCAAATGTGCAAAGCAGATAAGTTTAAGCCCAGAACAAAACCAAAAAACACCAGAAATGCCTTAATACTTTCAATCTTAAAATAAGTGCAGTGCTATCTCTATAAACAAATATATTTTATTATGATTTGTTTTTAACTACAACATTAACCTTACTCAAAAGGATTCCAAAAGATTGTCACACACTACCACAGATCCAACTAAGCAAATATGGTTTAACAAACTCTACAAAAAAGTTGCATGCTACATACTTTTAGAAGGAGCTTGCAGATTTCATATTTTCCCTTTGCTGCTGCTTCATGCAATGGAGTAAACTTCCACAGATCTGCAACATTGACTGAAGCTCCATGTCTCACGAGTAACTCTGCCACTTCATAGTGTCCATATGAGCAGGCGTTATGCAGGGGTACTAAGCCACTAATTAAATAGAAAATATGTTAATAATACACCTGTCAGGATCTAAAAATCGCAGTTATCCCTCAAAATAATCAGCATTTTTCCTTTGCAAATATGAGTATTAACTGTCTAACAACTGGTAGGACTCAATGCATCAAAACCTACATATATCAAAGTACCACATTCTTATGAGTGCTCTAAAGAAGATCAAAGTAGAAACAGTATCCATTTGTCAGAAGTAGTTTATAGAAATGGGAATGGTAGTGATGATACTTAAAGTTGGTTTTCTTTTTCTGCTTAGAATGTTGTCCAACTGTTGGTTAGAGGAGCTGCATAGGTGAGTAAATGAATTATTAAGTCCAAATCCAAGCCATTCAGGGGTATTTAAAGGGCAATGTGACATGATTAGCTTTCCCTGCAGAAGGGGATTATAATGCTCCTGTGTACAGAAAATGGGAAAATCAAAACGACAGTCCCATTTATTTCCAGACGCCAAGCAGTGAGTGCTGGAGCTAACAAGAAAAGTAGTCTCAAATGTCTGAAGGGCTTCATGCAGGGGAAAGTTGTGTTATGTACTAAGATCAAGGATGAAATTCAAGCCAAAAGTATCCTGAGTACCCTCTCACTGAATTGTGCTCGGATTTCCCTCCCTGTAATGCTCTGAGACGAAAGTGTAAACCTAAAAGCACTGGATCCCTGGTCCTCCTGGCTAATTAAAGCCAAGGAGGAGCTGCTCAGTCAACATGTGGAAGAATCAGGCAATGTTTCTTTGCACGATTGAACAGTCCTGGTCTTTTCAAAAGCAGTGGCTATACAACAGAAGTAATCTTAACCTTCATTCTGATTAACTGACCTGCCCCTCACCTGTTCTTTTAAAGAAAGCTGACAGCATGAGGGCTGAAGTGCAACCCCTGACAACTTTCTTCTGCACATTTCAGATGGATACTGATAGTGACTGGTCATGGGATGTAGCGGACCATCTCTGCCTGAAAGGTTGAATGCAATCCTATATTCTTTGCAGTGGCTTTCACTACAGTTCCTTTATGATACTGAGCTGCTTGCACAATTTGCAGGGAAGGGCAATAGCAGCACTTCAGACTGCTGAAGCATCCATAATCCTTGACTTTAACCATGAATCTGTGTTGAGGCATATGGCAGGAACGTATTTAATTCCTTTTGCTCTTTCACAGGTATGGAGAAATTTGAGAATTCAGGTCTTAACAGAAACTACACTGGTGACAGCCAAGTATTTTCCCCATGAGATGCACAGGCAGAAATCTTGGTCCAAAAATGTCAGGCCACTATCTGGCAACAGTGGGTAGCACCTGATTTAATCTGCAATCTGTCTCAGTGGCTTTTTAAAAAGCACATGAAGAAGTTATCTGGATTATAGTGACAGAACTGATAAATAAAGTATTAGAAAGCACAGAAACAAAGAGGACTGGAAAAAAAGAAGCTATGCCAGCCACACAGAAAACAATACATTGAACATTTCAGTACCCCTTATCCTTTGCATGCACATCAGCTCCGTGGTGAAGCAAGTATTCCACTACAGATACTCGGTTATAACCTGCAGCAAAGTGCAATGGAGTTGAGTGACGCCCTTCCAAATCTCTGCAATTCACATTCTGGGGACTGCAAAGTTGCTGTGGACAAAAATGAAAAACGCATACATAACAAATCAGTATCAAACAGTAGCCAGTAAACCAGACCAGAATCAAAAACTGTAAGATATGAGAGCAATTAAAAACAGTTCTAGACATTGTGAAAGAGTCCAATCTCAGCAGCAGCAAAAAGGAACTGAGGTATTACGGGCAAGCGGAGCATCATGTCACAGGGGAATGTCCTACTAGTCACATGTTTTTAAGCTCATATTCCGAGGAGTCCTGCGCAGGTGCAGTCAAACCCATTTGTGTGCATCCACAGAGGCCACAAAGAAGAACAATCTTGTTTTCCTGGAGTCAATTCCTACTCATAATGAGAAAGGATAATGCTGCACAATAGTCAACATTATTTTTAGTCTTGATGCCTTTCTCTATGCCTTGCTTTTCAAAAATAAATTCTTGAACTGCTTATTTAAATTTTGAACTACAAAGTGATTGTACTGCATAATGATTTAGGTCAGTATTCTGTGCCTTAACTCCCTATGTGTAACTAATGTAGAACAAGTGGTTGTGGTATTTCTCAAAGCATCTGTTCCATAACTAGTTGAACTTTTAAAAAAAGAAAAGAAAGAAAATAGAATAAAATACAGAATTCAAAAAAGGTTGAACCACAAATAATGTATATAGGTAAATATTCTAAATTTCTATGACACATTTGCCAGCAGTGAAAAGATGCAAAATGATGTGGGCCCAAGCTTTAACCCTACTTTCTAAACTATTTAGTTGACTGAGCTTGTCTATAGGCATTCCCTCTTAAAATTGTTTCTGAAAAGAGAGGTAAAGTATTACTTTCCTAGAATAATAGAATACAACTCACACATTCTCAGGAATTAAAACATCTGTAACTAAAAACAATCAGTACCAACATATTTGCATAAATACAACATAACAAATTCCAGAGAAAAATTGTACTCATCTCTTTTAACAAATACAATAAAGATTCCTGTAGCAATTAGAAGTAAATGTAACTGTATCTGAGGCATAGGTTATACCACAATAAAAAGCAGTAGTTTAGTACACCACATAAATCTTTTTTTAATAATAACCAATTCCAATGATTTCTAACTAACATGAATTCAAACTGACATGATGCAGCAGTGAGAACCGATGTTGAATTTATCCATATGTCAATATCTACATTCAGTTTTTCACAATGATTCACAATTTCTAATGTTCATATTTTCAGAGTTACAAATGAGAAGTATTTGCAAATTGCAGCTCAGTGATCTCAATAACAATATGTGCACAAGCACAACTGAGACAATACAATAATTATATTCAAGGTTAAAGAGTAAAAACAAAGGACTCTTGCCTAAATTTAATGCTCATTCAACACTTAAGGGCAATGTTTTTATCTGTTGGCTTGTTCCAAGAGACAGTATGCCAGCTGTACAACAGGTTACACTGTTCTGCTCCTATAGACTATTTTCACTACCAGAACACTGGGATCGCTTAGACCCCTGTTAACAGTGAATAGCGACACGACTCAAATATTGTACAAAAACATAAGGGTTTGAAGTCAAATCCAGGAAACTAATGTCACCAGCTCATGAAGTAGCTTGAGAAGAACTGGTAGGGTAGTTTTTTCCATCTTCTCCTGGGACAACGTAACGCTCTCACAGCAAAACAGAAAGTGAGGAATTCCATGCCAGGTTGCTAAGACAACTATACTGTACAAAGTTCTGACTTTTGACCCTTTTCAGGGTTTTCTAGATATAGGGTACTTAGAAGTGGTTACCATTTCCTTCTTCTGGAGTCCTCCTGGGACTATGCAGCTTTCCCAAAAGTAGACCTGCTGGTTCTTCTCCTAGGACCCTGGGGAAGTGAACTCCCAATCTCTGGCAACTGCAGCCAGGTATCTAATTCACTAAGCTATCCACACTTCAAGAACAGTTAAGATCAGTTTAGTTCTAACCAGTCATGGTTTAGTTCTAACCAGTTTAGTTTTAACCAGCGCATCACAGCTATATGACAAAATTTACCCAAACTGGACTCACTGCATAGCACATACATTTAATTTTGGTTATTGTGAAATGCTTTTTTATCTCTTTCAGCAGATAACAGAGACAATTACAAGAAGATATAATGCACAAGCTAAGTGGTTTGTTCCAACCTACCTTCACAGTTTCCAAGTCTCCTGCTTTAGAGGCTTCCAACAGTCTATAATCCACATCAGATGTGTGTACAGGAGTGCTCTCTACATGAGAGACAAGAAATTTATAAGCACCATGGATTCAGAGATACAGCTTGTAAACACTTAAGGCAAAAAAATATATATTAAAAAGTAAATATTCCGACACAGGAAATGAATGTGTATGCCCCTACTGGAGGTGTGACATAGTGAGTGAATAACCTATTTATCAGAAATGTTACTTGTTCAAATATTACACTAGATCATCTTAGACAAGCTATTACATGTCAGGGAGAGGGAGAGAGAGATTGGTCACTATCATGTTAGTTCTTGTCCTATTGCTGGACACAATTCAAAGAGCTAGGTTTTAACCTTCAAAGTTGTCAGGTCATTTTAAGGTGAAAAGCAGGGTAAAATATTTTGAATAAATAAATATGTAAGTAGTTTGGAGCCAGAATACATCAAGGATACCCTCTCCTCACTTGAACCCAATAGATGTTGACATCTTCCTTCAAAGGCCTGCTTCAGGCTCTCCTGCCTTCTACTATAAGTGAAAGATGGCGATAGACTGTTTGCAATGGGAATGCCTCTGGGACAGACAATAGCCTGATGTTAGCTTTGATTTTATTTAAATTTTTGGTACAAGGTAAAGACTTATTTCCCTAGTCTTTCTTAGTCCTTTTATTTATCTCTGGGTTGCAGTTGTTGTAGTTTTATTTTATACTCTCCCACTGTTTGCAATTTATTTTAGGCTTCTTTTTTATTATTCTTTTCTTTTGCTACTATGGAAGTCCCTTTAGAATGAACGGCAAATGATCATTTAATTAAAAAGAGTTAATTAAAAAACATTCTCTCTTTTTATCTAGCAACAGAATGCCTACCATTCAATATTTGCTGCACTGCTTCATTGCCCATCTGTGCTGCCGTGAAACCTTGCAGAGAAATTATGGAGGGGTCAGAGCCGTAATTGAGCAAGAGCCGACAAGTCTGCAGGTGTCCTCCCAAAGCCGCCCTGTGCAAAGCTGTTTGTCCAAGTGTGTCTAGTGCATTCATCTGATAGGAAAAAACATGTGAGCACATATTTAGTAACAAGGAATATTCATCACTGCTTTCCACTGAAAAGCTCCTTTGCTTCAGAAACTCTGTGTGGAAGGAACCGACTGAAATTGTACAGCACACTAATTTCACTACCCCTCCAAGTGTGATGTAATGTGAACACTTCAAGATAATGCAGGATCAATTAGTTTCTTCTCCTTATTGCCCTGAAAACACACTAATTTCAGATGAAGTATGTGATGTAATAAAATTGTTATAAAGGAAAAAAACAGTTATAGGAATTATTTAGTTCACAATAAATCAAATGCGTTGTAGTGGGTAGAATGGCAGATTAGGACTCAGGAAACCTGGGTTCGAATTCCCGCTTAAATATTTCATTTAGCTTGAGAGACCTATTAGAATTGCTATAAACTGGTTCTGACTGGATAGCAAATAAACATTCGGGGGGGGGAGTAAACTAAATGTACTTTAACAAATGAAAAAAAGCTATGAGCTTATGACCTTTCGGATGGATGAGGAGAAAAAACTACAAAAAAGAACAAGAAATTGGTGGGAAAGCGAACTCAGGAAGTTTCTGGCATGTCTGGGCAGTTATAGCTTTATATGGAAGAAGGGCATTTTTCATGCACTATCATGTGATGCATTTCAGAACTACTCTGCAGACTGAGAAGTTTTCTTATTTTGCAAAATTACAGACCCCCTGGTTCTGCTAGGCAGACTACAACAACAAAAGACCTGCCCTTTGACAAACTCCCAACAGCTTTTACTTTCTCCTACTTTCCATGAGTGCAAGATGCTGCCATCTCCATGCTGGGAATATATATATTGTGAGGAGTGCATCTCATCACCAAAAAAAAAGGGGGGGGGACGACTCCTGACTCTGGCCACCTATGTATCTAAAACATGTGCAAATCTCAGGGTGCAGTACTGTGCTCACTGTCTAAAATCAAGTTCTACTGAAAACAACTGGATCTGTTTTCAAATAATAGATTTTACAGCATATTTCTAAGTAAACTTCTATTCTGTGACCAAGGAGCTCTGAGAAATACACTAAAACATAAACCAAAAACCTTTCAGACTGAATCTGCCCCATTGGAGCAGACAGTGGTTCCCAACCTTGGGGAACCCAGGTGTTCATGGACTGCAATTCTCAGAACCCCCAGCCAGCACAGCTGGTAGTGAAGGATTCTGGGAACTGTAGTCAAAGAACATCTGGGTTAACCAAGGCTGGGAACCACTGGGGTAGACAAAATGGATTCCATTTTGAAGCTATTTTGATCATGTACTTTAGTGCAATCTTTCAGACTGGTTAGAGAAGAAGGGATTATGAGGAAGCACTAAACTATGGCTATTTTAAATATTTAGAGTATCAGCTTTCTTTTCAAAAGCAGGCAGCTGATAAGGAAGGTCTCTGCTTCTGAAGTCTAGATATCTTATCAGGCGATCTAGAAAACTTGCTTTAATTAACAGCTTGAATGAATAATTATGCAATGATTTCACAATTTAACTGAGTGCAAAGGTTCTTCCAAAATGCTTCTCCACAGGAAAAAAAACAGAAAAAGATTAACAGCTGGCTCTCAATTTTAAAACAGCACACGCTACAGACATGATTTGATACACCAATATATTTTATGATCCTATAAAATCTGGTTGGAAAAAAGTCAGACCCACAGATCTGGAAAACAGCAGTGATATAACAGACTCCGAAATTGTAATGCACCTGTCTTACATATAATTAAGGAACTGTTGATGTAAGCTCCATCTCTAACAAGATGTAATAAAGATATGTTTTACTGTCTTTATATAATTTGGATGCAAACTGCAAACATGTTGAGCATTGCTGAACTGTGTTTGCTCTCTTTCTCTGCAAAACTGGCTATATAAAAATTTTTGATAGCTTACACCGAGGAGCTGGATGCTCCACTGAACAATGCAAGCCACAGGAATTGCTACAGTTATAAGCTGGGCTTATTCTCCTACCACAAAACTACCTCAAATTCTTCATTTCATAGTGAAACACTTACAACAGTGAGTTACATGATAGAGCTGATAACAAAACAAGATGCCCTACAGATATATGGAACTAAAATTCCCATGATCTCTGACCACCAACCGTGCTGATCAGGGCAAATGGGAACTACAGTCCAAAACATCTGGAATATGAGTTGGAAAAGGCTGATTTTATAATCTATATTCAGTAAAAGAGGAGGCATTTGCATTATTCTAATCTCAATTATTGAATGAAATAATATTTAACAAGTCAGGTTACAACCTAGTTCTTTCTGAAGTTTACACCAATGGAGGTGACCAGCTTACCATAGATAACATAATCTAGAATAAAAACAGTTTGTAATTCCAAGTGTCTAGTAGAATAAATAAAAATGTATTCAGTAATTTTAGACCATTTAAAAAATATATAGACAGCTAATGATAGAGCCTCAGTATTGGGATTTTACTACAAAGCTTTGTAAAATATTGTAATATATTTCAAAAAACAACAGCAACATCATATGAAGCCAAGAATGTTACAATCCTGGCTTTGCAATTTTACTTAGCATTTTAATTGTATTACTTCTGCTTTCTAAAAGAAATACATGAAAAACGAGTCAGAAAGGTGGGTAAATTAGGCATAAAATACACATAAATTATGGCGTTGATGCAGTTATACAATATTGTGGTAAATGCTGGAACAATTCCTTTGAAATATGGACATAGGCCGGAAACCTGTTGCTTAACATTTTACGTTCCACTACAGCAGGTCCACTGAATCACTGGGGATTTGATGAATAAAATCCTCCATAAATTCAACATTCAAATGGGCCTACTCTAGTGCAACTTACTATGCTAAGCAACAGGACTTCAGCCATAATGTTGCCCTGTCATTTTAGAATGATTCAGTGCTGAGGTGGCAACACAGGTGTGATAAAAACAGGCACTTTACTAAAAGAACCAAATGGCAGAGAAAGCACAATGTTCCTGCCACACAACACCATTTTTGGGAGCATTATTAAGGTATTTACCTTTGCTCCATGTTTATGAAGAACTTCCATAACATCGTTGTGAGCTCGTTCCGCAGCAATATGCAAAGGAGTCATGAAACTAAATATAAAATGGAAAAGATGCAGAAAGAGGTTAACAGCTGTCACAGAGTCCTTCTAATGAAGTACAAATCTCATTTTAAAGAATGAACATACTCTTTGTTTTTCTCATTAACGTTGGCACCTTTCCGAAGCAACAACTCAGTGACTTGTTTCCGTTTGGGGTGAAGAGAAGCCACGGCACAGTGCTGTAAAAGAAACAAACAACAAGCTAGGAAAAATTAAGCCTAAGCAGAAAATGGAAGAAAATATTTGAAATATAAACTGAGAAGGCTGCAATTAACTGTACAGATTTAAGACGACAGAATAAATAATTTGCTTATCTGCATGCAGGTCTCTGTTAGGAATCTCAAGAGGAAACATGATCAAATGGGGGGGAGCACAAGAATAGCATGTCCAAGCTCTTTTTACCGGAACAAAGGAACACAACATATTTAAACCTGAACCACAGCTTTCCTCTTGAACAGAAGCAACTGCTGTTGTGGATCAGGAAGCAAATCTCTTGCTATGGGCACAGTTCTCTGCATTCAGGTGAAAGGAATTTCTCTCTTTTCTCCACTCAGCCCACATGCTTCTCTCCACTCTGATAACCAGAATTTGGAGTGAAAGAACTCACAAAGGAGGTAAATTATTATCCGCAGCTCAACCAATACTTCTATTATCTGTCCAGTCCCTGGCTAGAACAAACCGGTAAGCCAGAGTGGGCAACAGCGCTCATTTACACCTGGCAACGGTAGCTCCATGGTCTGTCTCTTTAAGGCAGCATTGTAAAATGTTTCAAACCTTGGATGAAATTAATCCTGGTTAGCATTTATTCTAGTGATGCATAATAATCTATTATAGTAAAAGTGGTAATCTACAAATGCAAGGACAAAAGCTGATGAAAGACAGCATAACTCTTCAAAACTATCTCAAACTGATGCCAGATGAAGAAGCAACATCCATGTTTGAACTAGTCTTTTATAATCTCCCTTTCCCAACAAACAAGCAGACATCATCTATTCTAGCCAACACTGATAGTGGATGAAACAGTTACAAGAAACATGGTGTATTTAGCAACTGTACTTCTTCTTTCTAGGAAAAAAGTTCTCTTATCCAAATTCAAAGTGGAAAAATACAGAAAGAAGCATTTGCTACAGGTTACCCCATAGATCAGCATTAAGTCAGCAGCAAGCCTAGCATCATGTTTGGCGATGGCTGAGCTATATTTGCCTTGAAGATGGCAGTCTAACTGTAGATAACTTTAGCCACAAATTATATACACTAAGTCTAACTACTGCCTAAAGCAAGCAGAGTGACTCCATAATCTCACCAGCGCTGTCTCATGGGACTGTGGTTGCTTGAAATTAATGACCTCCAAGGCAAGTGTCTTCTTTACTTTGGCTAAGTCAGCTTCTCTTGCTGCTTGTAGTAAGGAATGTCCTTTAAATTCATCTGCAGGGGAACAAACAATATTTGCAAGTGTCAGATTCATGTACCCTATTTTTCCGTTTATAAGATGACTCAATGTATAAGACGACCCCCACCCCTTTTCTAACCTCAAATTAGAAAAAGCAGGGATCAAAGGGCTCCCTTTTTGCTAAGCCCCATGCCTTGACAAAAGGCAAGGCAAGCGGCTGTCAAAGTGACTGCCGCTTTTCCTTTTCTTTTCAGAAGGCATGGAGCTTAGCAAAAAAAGAAGAGAACAACGACTCCCCTTCCTTTTTGCTAAGCCCAGCACATTCATAAAAGGCAGCGGTAAAGAGCTGCCTTCCATGTATAAAACAACCCTCATTTTTTTCTCAAATTATTTAAGGAAAAAGTGTTGTTTTATACATGGAAAAATATGGTAATATGAGTTCAGAAAAATAAACAAGAGGAGAAAATATTTCCCCAATGGGCTATATAGACTGTCCTAACACATACTCCCAAGTGAGTTTTGTGGGGGAAAATTACATTCCTGTTTCAAGAATAAACAGTTGGCATTCAAATGAAGGATCAATGAAACTCTGAACTGGGCAAAAGTTTCAAACCAGCATTTCTACAATGTGACTCAAAGTCAAGTTCAGAACATGAAGAGGGGTCAAATTCAACAATTAATCTCAAATATAAGGTAGTTTAAGAGGGTCTCCATTCAATGCAATGGTGAAAAAAACATCCACATTTGCATCTCATAGGAACTGAAGTCATGAGCTTTATCTATGCACCAAAACAGAAGCCTGAAGCATTCACTTCATAATACAAGGAATTCATGCCACTTCCCTGGAAAAAATTAAATCAGGCAGAAGGAACTGTTTCTGTAACCTGCAAACACATTCAAGTACACTTTGTTTATAAATTGGATGAACCAGATCCAGAGCCTGAATAATATGCATTATTTGTTACAAATAATAATAACAATATTTTTTGTTCCACAGCAGCCCATATTCTCTAACTGTTTAATGTTGAGAGGTATATAATTATCATTATAAGCATTTTACAGGATAGCACTTATGACAATATATAAACATTTTAAAATAACTAAATAAAATAATATTGATCAATTAGTTTTGCACTGTTATTCTCATTTTGCATAACAGAAAACCAAAGCAAACAAGTCAATTATTAACCATATGCAAGTTTGGATACTGAGTGCAGAGGCCAAGGAAGTCAAACGATTGTGTTTTTGGGTCTGTAAACAGTTTGTCAAGATAGTTCTGGGATGGAGTCAGCAGTCATGGCACATGTCAGTACCAGTAATGCATGGTGAAGCTGTGTAGTCCTGGAGGTTGACTTTAGGCTACTAGGTAAGAGACTGAAAGCCCGGAACGACAAGGGAGCTTTCCTTGAAATGCTAGCTATTCCAATTTCAGGTAACGGATAAGACAATGGGTGTAAGATGGAGGAGTTTAGATTTGTTCCAGGATGAAGAACACTTTGGGACCTACAGTCCCAGACAAAAGGGATGGGATCAACTTTAGGCAAACTGTATTCAGATTGCTAGTGTCCAACGCAAAACAGGCAGCAGCACGGCTTTTAATCCAGGCTTAAGAAACCAATATTGAGTGGAAACCTGATTCGCCCACCATGCCACCCCCTCTAGGCTAGTTGATAACAAGGGCAGGACTATGACTGCTGCTATCATTGGGCTCTGAGCTAAAGCACCATTCAGCATGCTTAGGCCAGGGACATTTGGAGAAGGGCATCATCCAACAATGTTTCAAGGTTAAAAGCCTGAAGATGATGGAGCTACAGTATTTGTTTTTGAAGGAGAACATATATACAGCAGAGATAAAAGAAGGCTAGTAAAATGGAGAAAACCACCAGGATATGGTATGGTCATGCCTGGACAGAAACCCTAGCTAACTAGCAATAACGGGAAACAGAACACTACCCAAAATGGGGCGGCGGCGATGACTCAACAAGGACAACAAATACAGAGAGGCATTAAGTGATGCAAAAGGCAACTGGGCTTACTGAGGAATATATTAAAACCAACAATAACAAAATATTTAACTATTCCAAAAGGCAGGAACTAGTTATGGAGGCAGTGAAACCACTAAATAACAAGGAAATTACAGGAGTGATAAAGGGGGATAAAGGGATGGAGGAAATCTAAAATAAATAATTTGCCCCTGTTTTCATTGCAGAGGTTGCAGCACAGATATCTGTGACTAAGCTGACATCTGCCCTGCTATGTTTCTCAGATTCCCTTCTGCCCTCCAAAGGGAATCTGAGAAACATGCAAATACCTGTGGCAAAAGCTGAAATTCCAGATTCAGTGACAAACTGAAATAACTGGCACAGAAAATTATCCATGCAAGAGTTCCTTTTTAAAAACCACACAATTTTGTCATCACTGGTAACAAGAACATTCAGAGGACCTGAAAGTAGTCCATATAACACCATTTATTATGGAAGGGTCTAGGAGAAGGATCTGCAACATAAAAGGCTGGCTAACATATTAGTGAAACATTGTATTAAAGATAATGACGCCTAAAAATAATCAAGTATAGCTACTGCTGAAGAAAAAGGAACATGATGTCTACAAAGTTCCACCTTGCTATAATACTGGAGAATGTCAACACACATGTAGATAGGACTGATCTGATAAGACACTGTTTATTTGCACAATGTCAAATACTTTGCCAAACGCCCTCAACACTGCCTTTTCGACAAAATTAGAAGCAAGTAACATAAGTGGCCAGGACTGCTTAGGGATGAATAATTCATTGAGGAACAGAAGAAAGACAATAAGAATGGCCAATTTTTGCAATGCAAGAATACGAACAGCAGTATCCCTAAAGGTCTGTATTGGAGACCTGTGTTTTTTAAATTATCTAGAGTTCACAGTGACCAGCAAGATCACTAAATTAATACAATAGTAAATACCTAGGGTGGTTACTGCAGCAGCAACTACAACAACAACAAAGGTATTACAACAAGGTTCATAAGAATGTTCAATTCTGGTGCAATGTAAGGAAGTGCAGCAATGCACATTAAAATAACAACAAATCTCTACATCACAACGGTAAGATCTGAGCTGGCAGATCAGCAGTGGGATCTTGCAGCTGTGTAGGGAGCTAACTGAGAACATCAAGCACTGGCAATGTCTGAGAAACATAAGGAAACAGCTGTGGCAAGAGATGAACTTCCAAAATCACTGACAAAGTGAAATCCCTGGCACAAAACAATATCCATGTGAGAGTTCTTTTTCACACACATGTGCACATACACAGACATAAAATTGTGTACTGGTTATCCAACAGCAGTGATTTTTGGTTATAGCAACAGCAGCGCTACATACTTTAAAATACATTATTCCAAATTTAATGTGTGTGTTTTTTTACAGGAGGTCCAATTCTTTGCTGGAGGAGGGAGTACATGCTTATCACTTGCAAAGATAAACATGTACCACACATTTACAAAAGGAATCATGGGCCCCAGTACCCTGCAAACATATTGTATTATGTTAGTTTTTCTCATAAAGATTATTTCCAGTCTCTGTATAGCCAATGCCTAAGTGAGCCACTGACCCCTGATTTTTCCAGTGTATGGCCATCTCTAATCTAGATGAAGCGAAGAAATATCTGATTTGAGATCGTTGCAACAAAGTTTTCAGTCTGCTAACAATCTAACAGACGGATCCCTTTGATTTCTGACATTTCACCTCAAACTGCCACATTGAACATGATTTTGGTAGCCATATTTGCTTTCAAAAACAAATTGGAGATTCTCAATAAGATGGATTCTATCAGAAATACAACAGCTTGCCCTTTTTTCAAAAATCACAGCATGCAGAGACCCTATCTAGACACAACTGAAGATTGTGACAGTAGAGATACCTACAAGTGAGTCTCTCTTTTAGCTCAGGTGTTGGGGCCATGTCCACAGCACTCTTGCCATGACAGTTGACTAATGTTGGATCTGCACCGTGACTCAGTAACAAAGAACAAACTTCCACTCGATTCTTGGAAGCAGCTTCATGTAATGGAGTAAACTGCCAGAGATCCATTGCATTAACACAGGCCCCATGCTAAGTAAGAAAAAAAAAAAAAACAAGATGAGTTAAAATTTACATGCATACAGAATTGTATTTAACTTGTAGTCTTCAACAGAATTATAGCTCTTCAGGTAAATAAAATATTGATTACAATGAACTGATACTGTGGCAATACAGGTTCAAATAATTTCATCAGCAGTAGGTAAGAGAATGTGTTATGTTGTTTCAGTATCCACTGAGATCTGCCTCAGTAAAAGATTTAGCACGTTATGAAATTAATTGAAAACAAAGTTGATTCAAAAGCTGGTATAGTAGTACAATTCGAAGACCCTGTTCAAATCCAAGTCCCCCAGTGAACCCGATATTTGGCTGTAATGCCTGTTAATCAATTATATGCTATCAGATTGATTCTGACTGACAGTGACCCTTGCCAGGGTTTCCCAAGTACAGTAATACCCTGCTTGGTGCTCAGAATATGTTCCAAGGCAATTGAACACTAACTGAATCAGTGCTAAATAAAATCATTCTGTATCTGTTCTGTCTGGGAGTTCTGGAGGCACAGCCAACCTCCAATTTAAAGCAGGAAGACCAGGCCCCTCATCTCCCACAGGTCGGATCTACCTCCAGTGAGGTGTGGATAGAAAGGGTCCCAGGTCTCCCAGAGGCCTGGTCTATCTCGTTTAGGTAGGCCATGCACCTATTTAAGTGTAATTGTAACAAATCAGCACTTTACAAGGCCATATTATGTGGTGTCCCACTGTATACTCAGCCTTTCCCTCTGGTTGTACTCTAGGGCTGTACAGCTTGTTCAAGCCTAGACAAGTTGGTTCTTCTCCTGGAAAGCACAGTGTGGAATCAACTCCAGATTCCCAGCTCCACAGCCATATATTCCAATTTACTGTCAGCTGTAGGGGCAATAATGCCCTTTCTTATAGTGACAAAGTATGGATCAGCTCTGTTATTTTGCCCTAGTAGTCAAAACCCCATCAGATACTTCAATGCAAGCAAGAAAAATCATGGACATTGCTGCAGCTAATTGGTACACCAGTGACATGCAACTGTGACTTAGTCACAGCAACTTCTATGATTCCTCTTATTTGTGCACAAACAGAGCTTGGGCCAGTATTTAACAGGATTGCGCAAAGAAAAGTTCATAGATTCCCTTAATGAAAACACAATGATTTGGCAGCACTGTCTCTTACAGTCAGATCTAAATGCTCTTCAGAGAGAAACTCTGAAGACTGTAAGGTTACTTGGATTAATTAATGCTGTGTCACAAACAAAGACTTCAATTAATCATTAGTTGCACACATCCTTCTTTGTAAAATGGGCCTCTCTGGGAATGGGGCATTCCCAAAAAGTGTGTGTGTTTACCTTTGCAAACAAACAAACAAATGAAACATGAAAGTATTTGTGTCCCAGATCCATGCTGAATGGAACAAAATATATTTACTTATTAAAATACATCTATCCGATTTCTTGTCCCACAGTGCCCTTGTGTCTATTTAAAATGTGTGAACCTAAGGCATGCAATATTACTGTACATGCTTATCTGTATAACAGATAATGGATCAAAACACTAGACTTTCACCACTGCATTCATATAAACACATAATGTATTTGTTGGCCAATATCATGTTGCTTAATGCAGGGGACTGCACTAGAGCAGACCAGTAGAATCAATGGAGATTTAGTAAGTCAACTCACATGTAAGTTCCATTGGTTCATGTGGGCCTGCTCTTAATTGTGACACACTATGCTAAAGTAAGTTACAGTTACAATAGGGCCATTTGAATCTATGGAACTTACAGAAGAACTGACTCATCAGATCCCCACTGATTCAATGGGCCTAGTCTAGGGCAACAAGATTAAGCAACAAGATTTTATCCATTAAGGAGTAACTTGTCTTTACTTCACCTTCAACAGGAGTTCTGTAACTTCAAAATGTCCATAGGAGCATGCATTATGGAGAGGTACAAGTCCACTATAATAAATAAAGATAAAATTATATTATCCTCACACATCAATGAATTTGGAAACATACTGAACACAAGGAAAAAATTTAAAACTTTCATACCTTAAATGCTATTTGGCTAAAAATGCAGAGTCATAATTATTTGCCTGTTACAGGTATATAAAAATCTGAGCAAATAACAATCCACACACATATCCTTCTATCAATGCAGGCTCACAGACTGACAAAGACCTGCAGAGGTATTAAATCGATTGTTTATGTCATGGACAGGCACATGCACCTCCTCAGACTGTTTTGCAGCCCCTAGTCTTCTTGCTATTTCCGCTTCTAGGAGGAGGAGGAGGAACAGAAGAATAGATTCTGGCAAGTAGCGCCCTATCATTAGGCAGAGAAAGGAAGCTGCAATGAAGGGGAGCAGGTAGAGAAGTGGAAGACTTGCAATGAGAAAGAGCCCCATGGCCCACCAAGACCCCCCCCCCAATCTAGCTTGCGATCCATAGCTGCAGTAAAAGACATTTTAGGTAAAAGAGCCATTTGAGCTGGTCTTGCTGCTCGGATAAAATATTATGCCAGAGCTTTACTGACATACAGTGGGGTCTTGACTTGAGAACTTAATCCGTATTGGAAGGCGGTTCTCAAGTCAAAAAGTTCTCAAGTCAAATCTCCATTTCCCATAGGAATGCATGGAAAACCATTTGATCCGTATCTGCTCTTTTCCGTCCATAGAAACTAATGGGAAGCTGCTATTCCGCCTTCGACCACTAGAGGGGGATATTTTGTTTCTTTTTTTCTTAGGTCAAGAAAGGTTCAGGGAAGGCAGGGAAAATACAGTCCAGGCAAGTACAGTACCAGGCAGCCTGAAGACTGTCTCCCAATCCACTCTCTAAACGCTGGGAGGAGTGAGGAAGCAGACAGGCACCCTTTTCACTGGCCAACAGTTAACTGAAAGTTCACTTTTTGCACTTTCCCTGCCTCCCACGTGGGCTTTTTTCAGTTCTTAACTCAAATCTAAGTACTTAAGTCAAGTCAATATTTTGCTATGAGAGCGGTTCTTAAGTCAAAATGTTCTTAACTCAAGCCGTTCTTAAGTCAAGACCCCACTGTACAGATTAAGCTGTGTGGTTCCTTGCATTGCACTGATCTTTGTAAGCCAGATTTTTAAAATCTGAATGGAGAAAACCCAGGGTTCTTTCAAAAACCTGCAGGAGCTTGCTGTGGAAGAGAAAAGTACTGACAGATATTTGTTCCTGAAAACAACTTGGCTCTCCACTAGTAACCTCCAATATTGAGATTTTGGGAAATACCAGGCCTTAGGCATATTCTAGGCAGTGCTTGACATGGACAGGCAAGCAGCCCCTAAAGGCCAGTCAGTATATGTTCTTTATAATACACTGGGATTCTACAGCAAAAGTAGGGAAGTTCTCTAGTAGTTCAGCCTGTATAAAAACCCTTCCCTAAATACAGAGGGGTTGAAAACCATTGCTTTAACCCTGGGAGAGGGCAGATGTTTTTCACAACTCTGGCATTTCTCTATCAACGAACTGTAAATCAAAGTAGATGGTTTTGCCTTTCACATATAGTCCACACAAAGCTACTACTTTTTTTTTAAGGATGAGCAGTCCCTGGTCTTGCTATCTGGTGCCAGAAATAGTCAGGATATCAAATCTATGCTCATCGTTGGGGATAATGTGTGTTTTTGTTGAGATGATGTTACAAATTATTAGTGGAAGAGTTGTGATTGGAGCAAACTTTTCAGAGCTTCTGTCCCATCTCTTGATCTGCTGGGTTTAGAAACATGGGTGTTACACCTGACTAATACCTAAATAAGAAAATACACTGTGCAGAGGTCTTAACTGTGAAACTAATCCCCACAGTTTTCACAGTTGAAACAGCATGATCCAGGCCTCCATATATACAGGGCTTTTTAACAGACTGTAAGGTTACTTGGATCAGGCTATGAACCTACTATTCCACATTAAATCAGATGTTGCTTATATGTGTCTTATAACAAATGTTCTCTAGTCAACTCAGAAAACTAGTAAACCTAGTAAGATATATAGCATGTAATAAAAGGCGTATGCAATAAAATAACCACAGCATTAAAACAAAATCAGAATAGATTAGGAATACCATATAGCAGATGAAATATGCAAAGCTAAAATATAACTAAGTACTATGAGATTTAATTTTGGAATTTCTTTTTCAAATATTTGGCTGGGGCAAGAATGAGCATTACAGTAACTCCATGGTCCTACTGAAAAGGCCCCTTCGTGTTTGTAGTTTGTAATCCTACATACCCCTTATCCTTTGCATGGACATCTGCTCCGTGCTGAAGCAACAGCTGAACTATTCGAACTCTGTTGTATCCTGCAGCCAAATGTAATGGAGTAGACTGCAACAGAAGACAACAACAAAATAAGTCAAGACTCTTTCCAAGATAAACAAACTTTTCACAGTGACATATATTGCAGACAAAAGTGACAACACTAGTTGAAGAGCAATTACAAATTCCTTTTATGCATTACATGTATTTCCTTTGCATAGAGCTCCTTTGAGAACCAGTTCACATAACCATCAGCTTGAAATGTTATTGAATATTGACCATCTGAAATGGGTGAAAGAACAAATATACAGTACTTCACTCCAAGAAAATTCTCTTTTTCTCAACTGTCTGTTCCCAGTCAACTCACCAAAAATACTTCTAAACTTCCCTATAGTTAGAGAATTAATATGATCACTAAAATGCATCCTCTGTTCATTATCTGGCCATTAAAATATTATGGATATGTTTCCACACAAAAGGAAAGAAGTGATATGCAACCTTAGAAGTGAGTCAGTTTTACCTCAAATATCAAAAGATACAACACTCTGAAAGTCCACTGGTCATATCCAAATAGACATTTTGCTTCTATAGGTATCTGCTTTTTAATAGATCTGTCACAAAAGAAATCCTAAGCAAATTTTGTAGTTTAATAGATCCGTCACACAATTAAAGAAATCTTAAGCAAATTTTATAGTTCTTCAAAATGCCTCATCTTGTTCACTTGATGTCTCTTGCCATCTTTTCAGCATTGAAGATCTTTTTATTTTCACAGCATTTAATCTTCTGTGTATTTTCTTTCACGCTGTGTTAAAAACACTTTAAAAATCTGCAGTATCCTTTAACTCTCTGTGGCAGATGTCAGCTTTTGCTTTAGTTTTTGTGCTTTGTTTTACTGTGTTTGCTATTAAAGTTAAGAAATAAGGTAATTAAATTGTACCCTTCTGGACTGCTTTGCCAAAATGAGACTCAGTGGCACTCTTGGATTGAGGCAGTTCTAATTCTTTCTACAATGAATTACAGAAAATAATGCAGGGAGATTCCTGTTCAATGTCTTAGAAACCACAAGGCAAGAGTCACTGGGTACCTGGAATTCACTGTCTTTAGTATAAAACTCACACCTAAATCTTACTCTTCCTTGCATCACAATTAAAGATGAGCACAACCCAAACTACAAACCAAAGAGACCTACAAACCAGGCTGATTTGTGGTTCGGTTCATAATTTGGTTTGGGAATCCCATTTTGTTGAAATAAAACACTGGATTTTTTTTCCTCTCGGCACTTAATTTTTTTAGCAAAACAGATGCCCTGCCCCCTTCCCACTGTCCCCATTGCTTCCCTACCTGGTTCTGTCTCCCCTCCTCTTCATTCTCCACCACTGCCATTTTTAGAGACAGTGACTCGGCTTCCCTTCCGGGGCCATACGGAAGAGGGAAGAGGTGGGCAGCAGAGGGGTTGGAGGTGTTAGGTTGCCCTTCATCAGGCACAAACTGGAAAAAAACCAAACGATGAACAAGTTTGTTTTTCTGGGGATCATGAGTGGTTCATCGGTAGCCATGAACCACGAATCACCCCAATTTGTCATTTTTCCAATTCATGCCCATCTCTACTCACAATCTAATGAATTGTTTGTCATATAAACTCATGTTTCATGTGGGTAAAAGACTGAATAAGGGCAAAACTAATTTTAATTTAATCCAGACAGGACAGTGAAATCCCTATTAGGGAACTGGAGTTCTGGCTATTTCTAGTGGGACTGTGCTCCCCCGGAAAAATCAAAGACACAGTTGGGGGCACTTATGGAGTCTCTTCTAGATTTACATTGCCTATGTGCTGGTGGTTCCCAGCATGTTTTTTGCTCACCTGAGGCTAATATGCCATTCCTATTAAAGTCAGATATGGCCATGGTGGCACACAACTTGGTTATATCTGATTTGGTTGAGCCATGCAAAACAGGTAGATGTATAACTCTATGAAAGCTGTAGAATCATCACTGGATGCCTGAAGCCAATCTATATTAATAAAATAAGTCACCTAATATGCCCAGTGCCCAGTGACATAAATAGAAAGGCAGCAGCCAATAATCAAAGGATCTTCATCATATGCACACGCACTCTTTGGCTACCATCCTGTCCCTTCCAAATTAAAATCAGGGTAAGTTTTTTTAAAAAACATCTGTGAATCTTGAGGGAACAGAACAAAATGCCAGGGCTACAATGTGGATAGAAGGAACTCCCCACCACGTAAAGTGAATGGAAACCCTGGAAAGTCTAGCCCCCAGCCACAGGGAGAAGTGAGTTATTTGAAAGTCGCTTAATAGGCTACGAAGTCTCTCTCTCTCTCTCTCTCTCTCTCTCTCTCTCTCTCTGTGTGTGTGTGTGTGTGTGTGTGTGTGTGCGCGCACGCACGCACACATGCGCATACATATTTATATGTATTTAATTTGTACATTATCAATTAGTGGTGAACAGAACTCTGGGGTCAGTTTACATGCACAGTGAAATAAACGTAAAATAACTTTAAAATATAGTAAGAGACAAATGCCACATATAAACAAAGCAGTCATCAAAATAAATTAACGGAAAACTGAATAATTGCAAACAGGGAACAAAGATACTCAGTCCATACTACGTTAAGAGAAGATGTACTCAAAAGCTTCGATACAGCCTTGTTTTGAGCATCCTCTTGAAGGCTGTGAGGGGATGTAGTTCCATTGGGATCCCATTCCAAAGGGATGGAGTCGGCAAAACCAAAGTGAACCCAAGAAAACCGGGTTTTTACACCAACACAGTCTTTTGTGAGTACAGAGAAGAACCAGCAATTTCATACCTATGTCAGTGTAGTCTGTCCCCCTCAATATGTACCATAGACTACTTGGTGTTAATTTCCCAAAATGTTCTTGGTGTTGCACGTTACTGGGCAAAACCTATCTGATATATTGATTAGTTGTACTGTGATGACTGCCCGTTACTGGGCAAAAACTGATATATTGATTAGTTGTACTGTGATGATTCTGACATGAAGAAAGAAATAAAGGTCTAATTTAAACTACTGCAACACAATCTACAATGGAGCACTCTTCAGTCAGAAACATCACAGATTAAGAATAGTGTACCGAGGCTGTTGATGGGTGCTAGTTATAGGGAGTATGTAGCTCTTCAGAAGGAGCCTCCTCAAAGATTTTAAAAGTACTGCGAGTACACTTGGGCATCCCTTGGGCAAGGTGTGCAACTGACCAATTTTTCATTGCCAGAAGCATCACACTGTTAACTTGATCTGTGCAATGCTCTGATATGAATAAAGGAAAAATGATTTGAAAAGTTACAGGTCAATTTCCAGGCATAATTCAGAGGGCTAGTTATGACCTATAAAGACCTCAATGGATTGGAACCAAGATAGTTGAGGACACTCTTCTCTTGTACAAACTTGCTGGAGTGCTGAGTTCTTCTAGAGACATTTCTCCATGTGCCACCAACATCTGACATTTGCTTGGAAGGCACCTAAATATAGTCAAGGAGCAGCCAAACATCAAAGTCAATTGTTGCTCTGCTGGAAGAATTCTCTGACTCACTCAAGGTTTAAATTGGCAGGTATCATTGCAGCTGTTTCTAGGGCAAGTACGGTCCTGTGTAGAAATCTCCCATAATAATGTCTATTACCCACTGTGACACAACATTTGGATAAATATTAAGGTATGGTCTTGTTTCACAACATTCTCAGCCCCCAGACTCTGTGTTTTGGTTTCCAATCCCCTTTAGTTCAGATATTCTTTAATCTTTAATACCTTTTGCTCTCTTCATTTTGCTCTTCCCCATTCCTGCCCGAGAAGACAGACAGGGGACTCATTTTACCATCTCCGTCTCTAGGGATATCAGGCTTCTCTTCTCCCAACTCACATGCCTGGAACTTTTATTTGAGACCTTGCTGCTACTTCTACCACTTTCCCATTCGGATCTTGCTGTAACTTGGCCTACACCACTTCTCTTTTGCTATCATCTTTATTACCTATGGATAGCTGGAGCTTCTGTCTTTGCTCCTGTATCTTTCGTATCCCTCTCCCTTATTTTGTCCCCACCTAAGCCCAATACTCCCTTACTCTAATCAACAATTTATACAATACAACTCAGTTTGAGGTCCTGCCAAAGATCCTCAATGCTCTCCTATAATTTCATCTTCTCATTTATGGGCAAACTGGTAAGTTTCCATAGTACACTGCAGATGGCATCAGTTGTTGGAGCCTACCACCAGTGTAGAAGCAGTTCTTGACTGACACAATACATTCTTTCGTAGTTTTCAGAGCAACGTCTCGGCTGACAGGTTTTTATATAGCCTTAGACTGTACAACAAAACATTACTATTTTAAAATAATGATGCCTTTTGGAACCTACAGGGCTGATCAATATTTTAACAGTTTTCTTAAAATACAATAAAAATATGAATACTTCTGAAGCAACGGCACTTACAATCCACTAATACAGAAGGCTGCAGGATGGATAAAAACCAATGCTTTTTAAAAAAATCAAATTGACTTAAATAATGATTTGAATAAAAAACCAAATTTTAATTGAAATAATCAACAAAATCTGATTTTTAAAAATTAAATCCATTCTGAAAGGATGATATTTCTTTTTTGTGAATTTGTTTCTGTAAGTAATATGATTGCGTTTTTTAAAAAAACTGTAAACAGTTGTTTTTCTAAACCATGAAGAAGGGATGGGTAGAGAAGAGGCAAAAGACTGGGTGCACAAACAGAGGATATTAGCCATTATTAAAAAACAGTAGATTGGTTGAAGAACATTTCTTTAAAATATTTTTAAATTTCAGGATGCAATAAAGGTGGCAGATTTGCAAGGCAGGAGAGCAAAACTTGTATTTCCGGAATGAGAACAAACCAGAATACAAAGACACACTAAACACTAAGGGCCATAAGCTGCAGCTTTCCATGCTGCATGGCAAACTGCTCTTCAGTCTGGGGGGAATTTAAAATGATGGTCACAAGTAGACCAGCTTTTCAACATAAAATTCCATTAACAGTAGAGGCCCTTGCAGGAACCCATATAAACATTTTGTT